CAACTTGACGTCATTCACCATAGTAACCAATGAATATTCGAAGATACCATAATCCTACACAGCCGATAGTCTGCGAACCCATAGTATAGTGAATGACATCAAATTGACCGTTACAAGATGGCGGACTCGTCTACGTGCTTGGAGCGGTCAAATGGGGCATCTATACATATCTATGCAAAAAAGCAGCAGAATGTGCTATCCTTACTTTTGTACTTTAGTTTTTGAAAATGTGGTTTTCTTTCCACAAACCTCTTGCAAAAGTTCTAAAGAACTAAAAGAGTCACTGTCACTGTCACTGTAAAAGAGTTCTAAAGAAGAGTCACTGTTTACACCTGCCAGTAACATCACATTTTTGTTACTGGATCACAAGTGCTCAGCGCTAATTACTGATGTCTAAATACAAGATCAAAATACAAGGTCAAAAACATTTGGTGATCAGATACTACATAGGTAGATCCAGATTGCAAGTGCAGTGCTCATATGTTCTGGACCACAGTCTGCCCACTTGCCACCCACTCATATAATATGTGATTGTTCAGGAACATTTTGTGAGAAAGCACACCAAAACAAGTAATTGAAACTTTGCTGATGTAGAGGGTCGAAATCATAAATGTGTAATGTGTGCATATAGAAAGAACAATAGACCCCCCCACCCACAAAAATAAAATTTTAAAGAGAAACAAGGTTACATGATATTGTTGAATTCAGTATTGACTCTAATGTATTTTTGGGCTAACCCTTTTATTCGTGCCTCCTGTAGAGGGCGCATAGCGCTTTTGAGATGTTGAACTGCGCAGCTCGGGTCAGAGTTGTATCAAAAGTACACAGATTATAACCAAAATCACAGCTGCCTTAAGGTGTGTGCACACCAAAAGTTAATTTAATTATTCACGTGAGTAGATTACATACAAAGTCAATGCAAAGACGCAAATAGACGCAAATTCACACTTGGCGAAGTGAATGATGCAAATTGACATGATTGCCGCGAATGTGCGATACAAGCCTCAATCGCGTCTTCCGCATGAATTAAAACAAATTTCAACTTGAGCTGAAAATTCACATGACGCGAAAAGCTTATTGACACGTCCAGTTTGACACATCTGGTTGAGCATTACACAATGATTTTATTCACGTGAGTGAAACGGAAAAATCCAGCGGGTAATCTAGAGCGATAGCGTTATGCGAATATTCACTTCACTTTTGGTGTGCACACACCATTATTCTTCTCATTCATGTGGGGAGCGCACTCATAAGCCATGCAACATAGATCAGTTCACTAAAAACACATCTTAAAACCAGGTATAAACATGGCCTCATTCCCGCTTGTCAGGAACATCATTTGACCAAACATTCTCTCTGAAGGAGGACCCTGAGTTCTGTCATGAAACTCGATGGTGCAGGCCGATAGGTTCTTACTCAATATGATATAATCACATCGTTATTCACATGGAGCAGCCGATCGGTTTTAATTGCATCAGCAGCCAATGAGCTTGCTGCTCAACATTCAAATACTT